CCCAGGACTCTACTGCTGTGAGAGAATGTTATGGGTGAGGGGGTTTCGAGCCTCTGAAGAGCCCTTGACATCCCAATGCAGTCCCAGCAGCCAGATGAAGTGTTATGCTGCCTGAGAAGCCACTGCGACTCCCACAATCAGCCTGGATGGGTGGGCATGGGGTGGGGTAGTAGAGATTGCTGATATGCCTGTGGCTGTTTTCCTTCTAGTAATGCTGACTGCCAAGCTCCAGCTGCCTGGCCTCTGTGTCTTCACCGCTGTCACTGGGACTAGCTGCAGTGTGCATTTCCTCAGTTCCCAGGGTTGCAGACTTCCTGCTCTGCAGCTTGACACTCACTGCTGCTGTTTCCCCTGTAGCCTGCTGCTAGTTCTGAGAGGGTACAGGGAGGCGAGCTGTGGGAGAGTGGAGGGAAGGGATGCAGCCAGGCTCCATGACTCAGCTTTCTGCCTGGAAATTATGGATGCTAGAACACAGTTGTTGCACCTTTGTATTCTGTTTCTGCTCTGGTTTCTGCCTTGATCACTGGGTTTCAATGTAGTTTCAATGTATGCTGATCACTCAGACAAGAATGCTTGAGACTAATGAGAGTGTACACCTCCACCTGATTTTTTCCCCTTCCTGAGTCCTGTGGGGAGTGCTGGGCTGAGTTTGTGGCACTGGTCTCTGCTCCTCTCTTTTTCCTCTTTTCTTGCTCTCCTGATTCACCCACCTTCAGATACTCTGATATATATATCTCTCAGATGTGTTAGTGTATCAGACTGGGAATTTTCTGTGGGAATGTAGCTGTTCAATTTGTTGTAATTTCAAGGGGAGAGATCAAGGGGACCTCTTACACAGCCGTGCTTCTGACTACTTCTGTACCTTTTAATTGGTGAGTTTAGTCCACTTACAATTAGGATGATTATTGATATATGAGGCTTTTCCAAAGCCATTTTTTAAAATTTGTTTTCTGGTAGCTTTGTGTCTCCATTGTTTCTTTTCCCTTGTATTTCTCTGTTATTTTAGTTTGGTGGTATTCTATGATTTTTTCCTATTTTCTCTTTTTTATCTTATGTGTCTCAGTTGTAGATTTTTTTTGTAGTTACCTTTAGTTTTATAAAAAAGTAATTTTCATATATACAGTAGTTTTTAACTTTTGATTTTATCTTAACTCCATTCCCCTGTGCAAATTCATTTCTTTTCCTCCTTCCTTTTTTTTTTTGTTATCATCACAAATTATCCTTTTTTATGCTGTGAGTTAATTTTCAATAGCAGTAGGTAATGTCTTCTTTTTTAAAAAAGTGTTTTTATGTCCTTTAATCTTTATGTTATATTTAAGTGTTTAATACTCTACTCTGAACAAGCATTGCAATTTTCTGCTTCTGTCTGTCTTCTGTCTATGAGTCATCTTACTTATAGTTTTTTAAGTCTTTTTGTTTTAGATAGAAGAGCACCGTTCAGTATTTCTTGTAATGTAAGTCTTGTGGTGGTAAATTCCTTCAGCTTCTGTATGTCTGGGAAAGCCTTTATTTCTCCTTCACATCTAAAGGGTAATTTTGGTGCATACATTATTTTTGGCTGGTGATTTCTTTCTTTTAATAATTTGAATATTTGATTCCACTATCTCCTACCTCATAGGGTTTCTGCTTGAAAAATCTAATGATAATCTAATGGTTTCATTTATATGTTACCCTCTTTTTTCCCTGGCTGCCTTGAGAATTCTTTATTTGTCACTAATTTTTGATAGTTTCAATATTACATGCTTTATAGAAAGCCTTTTTGGATTGAGATAATTAAGTGTTGTCTTAGGTTCTTGGGTTCAAGGATTTAGTCCTTTATATATGTTTGGGAAGTTCTCATTGATTATTTGTATAGGCTCTCTTTTTCCTGCTTCCTCTCTTCTCCTTCTCTTATACCCAATATTCTTACATTGCTCTTTCTAATGGAGTCAGATCATTCTCATAGAGTTCTATTATTTTTTCCCTCAAAACTTTGTTTTTCCACCTGTGTCATTTCTAGATTTCTATTTTCTATGTCCCTAAGTCTTTCCTCCATGTGATCTGCTGTATTTCCTAGCTCACTAGTTTATTTTTCATCTTATTTATGGAGTTTTCCAGTTTCGGAATTTCTGTTTAGTTCCTTTTTATATTTTCAATTTTTTTGATTAAACACTCTTTTTATTCATTGATTTTATTTCTAAGTTTGTTGAATTGCTTTTCTGAATCTTCCTGTATCTCACTGAGTTTTTTCAGAACTTCAATCTTGAATTCTTTGTCACTTAAATCACAGTCTTCCGTGTCTTTAAGTTTACTTTCTGGAGACTTTTCATTTTCTTTCTGAATTCCCTTGTTACCTTGGTTATTCATGGTTCTTGGTGGGTTATTGCTCTACCTGGGCATTTGTGAGCAATGAAATTTGATTTTTAAAAAGTATTTCACACTTCACTGTTTAGCAGGTTCATAAGTAGAGTTTTTTCTTTATTTTTCTAGCAAATGGCGCTGAAGCACAAGTTTTTATTTTCTCTTACTTTCCCTGATGGGCTTTCTGGGATCTTTGTCAAGGAGGTAGGCATCCTTTTTCAATCCAGTTGCCTTGTTCTCAGGGCACCACTCCTGTGGATTAAAAGTGGTTGGCTATGGGTATGGTAGACTGAATGTTCTCAGTACCAGTCTCCTTTAGCCAGAAGCCACCAGCAGAGCTGTTCTATCTAAGATGATGCAGCTGCCTGTCCCAGGCTGTGCCTTGCTGTGTGGTGGAGGGTTGGATGGGTGGGGATTGGGTTCACATATCTGATCTGCTCTTTCTTGTGGTTTTGGCTGCAATGAGTATAGACCAGGTACGTTGGAAAGTGTTTTAGCCATTTTACAATCTGCCAAGTGAGGATTTCACTGCTGTGTGGACCACAGGTGGACTGGGTGAATGGTTCCCACATCTGCAGAATCTTTTGTATGGTGCTGGTGGGCTGTAAGGTGCTGTGATCTTTTTCACCACTTCTCTGCCCCTGACCTTGGGCCCAGCCTCAGTGTGTTTTAGCCACCCAGGCCCAATTGCTGTCTTCGCTCCTCCAATTTTCCCAGGGAGAGTTACACCGCAACCCTTAACTCTATTGTGTCCACTTGGGCCTCAGGGAGCAGGGGACTGTGCATGACTTTTGTCTTTGTTCGTCACCCTTTTTATTCCATTTTTGTAGTAGGCCCACATTCTGATGTCTCAATGTACAAATATCTCAGATATGTTTGTGTGTTGAGGAGGGAATCCTTTGTTGGATTATAGATTTCCAACCTGTGACTTTAAGGGGAATAACCTGGAGGCCCACTCATGCTTCCATGATATTGTCGTTACTTTTGCATAGAAATATTTCTGAAGGCTAACACACAGCATGCACTTAGTATGCATCAGATATTGGGGTTCTTGATGTGTGGTCACCATTGACATTCTGAGCCAGGTAATTCTTGTTGTGGGTGCCTTTCCTTTGCATTGTAAGATATTTAATACCGTCTTGGTCTCTAACCTCTAGTTGCCTGTAGTACCCCAAATCACCAAAGTTGTGACAATTAAAAATGTCTTCAGACATTGCCAAGTGTCCCCTGGGAGTGAAAATCCAGGGAGACAGTTAAATGAGTCCCATAATCATTCCCCAAATTCTTTGAACATCACTATTAATATCCCATTTTACAGATGAAACATCAAAGTACAGAGAACTTAAAGAATTTTTCCAGCACTAATAGCTTCCAAATGGCGGAACTGGGATTCTAGCCCAGTCTCTTCAGAGTGCAGGCTTTTCTCACTAAGCCTGCTTTGCCTTTTTGTTTTTGTGAGGAACCATCAGTTCACTCTCATTCCATAGGATTTCTACCTTTGATTCTCTGCTCTCTTCCAGTGCAGAGGTATGGACCTAGGTCAGCTAGTGATGGAAGTTTCTGAACATGAGTGGTCTGGTTCATTCCAACATCTTTTGGAGAGTTTAGCTTCAATAGCCATCTCCCCAGAATACTCTCCAGGTCTCCAAAAATAGAATCAGAGGAAGGATTTTTTTTTCTGAGTGCCAGGTTAAAATGAGATAAGATGAAGTCATTATCCTTAGAGCCTGGCCTGGGGTACTGATGCACCTAAAGTAAAAGTGTCCTTTCCACTTTCCTGGCCTGGAGTTCCACAAGTTTTTTTTTTCCATCTACAAACATTGCTTGATCTCCAAAAACTTGATGGATGCCAAAGCATTGATTCTGTTATCAAGAGTAGTGCACTATATTAACTATATGTAAACATATATACATATTAATTTTACTGTTTCTAAGCATATTATTAATATCAACGTATTTAAACACCACAAAATACACCTGGATACTGTGGTTACACCTATCCATTTTATAAATGAGAAACTGAGGCCAAGTGATACCAGTGAAGTGCTGAGAGATAAAGGAAGGGTAGTGGATCTAGGAGGAACTGAGATAAAGCCTCAAACCTGGAGGGAAGTAAGTGAGGTCTAGGAGACACAGCTCTGGGCCAGAGGGATTGTTGCATGGAGAGAGAAAACAGGTGGAGAAAGCAGAGTCTAAGGTATAGAAGGCATACAGAGAAGAAATACTCACCTGTAAGGAAGAAGGTAGAGAAAGGAGCAAGGCAGGCCTTGGGTACCCTAATGGGCATGTCGAGATATTGGAACTTCATGCATAGGCACTAGAGATGGAAAGTATTTCAGCAAATGTCATATAAAAAAAAGTAACATTTGGCTGTTGTGCAGAGAATGGATTGTAAAGAGCAGAGAGACCAGTAAGAGGAGACTTAGAGACTAAGAAGGTGGCCTTTTATGGAACTGTTTTTACAATTTGAGGCAAATTCCTTCAATGGTGGATGACACAGCATTCCAGATCCTGTTGACAAGAGCGACACCATTTCTAACTTCCCCTTTTGTTTCCCCACCATGTTCTGAAAGACCTTCTGCAGATAGATCCTCATTGTCTCTGTCTCTGTGACCCTTCTTCCACAGACCTGAGAAAGATGGAGCAGCCACCAGCGTGGACACAGTCTGTGCTTATCACTCTGACCCCACAAGCCCTGGGCTAGAAAGAGAGCAACTTTACTGGGAGCTGAGCCAGCTGACACAAGGCGTCACCAAGTTGGGTCCCTACACCCTGGACCAGGACAGTCTGTATATCAATGGTGAACAGCAGCAACCTTTGCTTTACTGTGTTGCCAACCCCTCATCCTCCCACTGCATTCCTTTTATTTCTTCTCCATATCCAACACTCTCTCTTTCTCTCTCTCCCTCCCTCCCTCCCGTCCCCCTCCCCCTGCAGGTTACACCCACCAGATCTCAGAAACCACCCTCAGTGGTGAGTACTGAATGGCTGTTAGAAGTCCCCCTACCCCACCAGGCATGGAAGCAACAGGCCCCTGCCCACATCTCCAGATGTCAGGGAGGGAAGGGGTCAGAAACACAGGCTGGGGAGTCATAGCAATAAGACTAAGCTATGAATCACCTCTGTGTTGTCAAGTGGACACAGAGAAATGACCACTAAATGTTGGTTGGGTGGAGGAAAGTAAGTTAACAACTGAATTACAGTAAATAACAAGTTAGGTTGTAAATTTTCTCCTTCAAAGATTTATAACTTCCAAATTGTTCCCTCTTTCACCTGCTGCATATGATGGTCTAATAACTACACTGGTCACTCTAGAATTAGGCCACAGGAACTTCAGCCATCACTGTGGTCTCCAGTGAGATGGTCACTGCTCTCCAGGCCTTGCCCGCTATATCCATTCCAGGCTTCACTCATTGTGGCCTCTCCCTCCCTTGCTGCAGCCACAAGACCACCCCTGTTGCCTTTTACCCTCAACTTCACCATCACTAACCTGCACTACATGGAAGATATGTGGCCTCCAGGCTCTTTGAAATTTAACACCACTGAGAAGTTCCTGCAGCACCTGGTGAGAGCCCTGCCCATGATGCCAGACCTGCACATTTCACCGTATTTTCATTGAAGCCAGCCCCACCTATCCAATTTCTCTCTTGCCCTCTGATGACCACTCTTCCCGCTACTGCCCTGCCCACCAGTGCTTTTGTCCACATCACTCTTGTACCACATTGCTCTTGTCCCAACCATCGATGACCATCTTGCCCCTGCCTCTCAGCTCATCTACTTACTTGTCTTCACCCACAGCTCAGGCCCTTGTTCAGGAATACCAGTGTGGGTGCTCTCTACTCAGACTGCAGACTGACCTTCCTCAGGTGAGACCTTGGGATAGCTGACCAGGACAAACTCAGGTCTTCCTAGACCTGAGGAATTTGTTTTGCTTCCTTCTTGCCCTCCCTGTTCATGTTCCTGGCAGAGCTGGAATTCAGGGTGTGTTGGCTCCAGGACCAATGCCTCTTCTGATTGTAACTACTAACTGTCCCTGGATTCTGCAGAGCTCCTGGGCAGGATTGGGCCCCTAGCCTGGTCATCTTTCTCTGAATTTCCTTCTCCCTTCCCTTGTACCAGTGAGGGCATTTTCTTTAGGTTTTTATTCTGTCCTCAAGATTTCTCTTAAGACAAACATGCCTTTCTCACCTGCTTTAATCCCAAATTCCAGCTCTTTACATGTTTCGGGTATGAGCTCTCCTGTCCTCATGCCATGAGGATGCAGGTTTCTGCCTTGCTATTTAATAATAATTCTCTCACCCATTGACTCTGCTCACAGTCCCAGCATGGCCCGAAGTTGGTGTTCTCAGAGCATCTAATTTTGGCTTCTCACTTCTATCCCAGCCTCCTCATTTCCTCTGGCCCCCTCCTGTCCTGGCCCCCGGGGTCTCAGAACCATTCCTTAAGAACCCACTTTATTTGTTGTCATCCCCTTCACCCTCCCTCCCCAGGCCCAAGAAGGATGGGACAGCCACTGGAGTGGACTTTGTCTGCACATACCAACTTGACCCTGTGGGCCCAGGGCTGGACAGGAAGTGGCTATACTGGGAGCTGAGCCAGCTGACCCATGGTGTCACCCAGCTGGGCCCCTACACCCTGGATCAGGACAGTTTCTACATCAATGGTGAGGGACTGCCATTTTTTTTTTTTTTTTTTTGCATCTCAGCAGGCCCCACATTCTCCTTCTCTATTGCTCCATTTCCCTCATTCCTCCCCTTTCTCAATCTATCTGCTTTACCTGTGCAGGTTACACCCACCAGACCCAGACCACCACCCCTAGTGGTGAGTATTCTGAGACTTCAGGAATCTGTACAGTCATGTTAAGTCCTAGCTTTTAGGAATAGAAGAGGCCAGGAGTTTGGTGCCTCCACTTGCCACCCCCACCTCACTTCCAGCCTTGGGGAAATGATGACCAATACCCTGTAGAGTCCAAAAGGAGGTACCTCCTTCTTGGAACCTCCAGAATCATGAGGTTCTCAACCAAAGCACTTGGGGTGTTCATCCCAGCTTCTGTGATGCTAGTGTGTACATCAGTGGTAAGGGGCTGTATGTGGAGGGTAGGTTCCCTCCTCCCCACTGAGTGAGCTCTGCTGCAGCAGGCTTCTGGCCTGAGTTCAAACTCTCATTGAGGCCTCACATTTTGGAATGCTTTGAGCAAGACTTTTGCCTCTCTGGGGATGGGAGGATGAATTTTGTTCTTTCCAGGTGAGTATTCGGTCTTCCTTTTAATGAATTTCAGCTGTGATGGTCCAGGCACCATCTCTCAAACGGCTGAGTTACCTCTTCATTGAAGATCTATCCTTCCCCCTTTCTCACCATCTCTCCTTCTACAGATTACACCCAGCTGGCCTCAGTCACCTCCCCCAACAGTGAGTATTTCAGACTCTTGTATACCTGTAACCATCACCCTCTCCCTAAAAATAAGAGTTGCTCAGCCAGCTGACCCTTTCTTCCTGTTACCTCCCCCCAACCCCAATCTGGGTGGGAAAAAGTCCAGAGGACATGCATAGAAATGTGAACTAAATTGGAAGTGAAAGGAGCTACCCCTCTTTTCCACTCCCCACATAACTGATGATGGTGCCCTGACTCCAGGATAATGGTGCTTAAATAAGGTGCACATTTTTTTTTATAACTAGAACCACCATTACTGTCATTTTCTCACAGTTACAGTACACTTTGGATTTCATTCCTGTTTTTTTTCCCCTCAGTTCCTGTGACCTCCACATACTTCCCTTCTCTGGCTCCATCCCTCTCTACCAGGCCCACAGGTAGGAGGGCTCCTACTAGCATAAAAATTATTTCTACAAAATCATTTATATCAGATCATTTCTCTCATTAGTCACTCACCTTCCCTGAAGGAACTTATTCATTTCTGTAGGTTTTAGGAACCATCTACCTGCTCAGGGTCCAGCTGCTCTGAATCCAAATTCTGAGTTCATTTTACATCACACAGCAGTTCCTGACCCTTGGTCCACCCACCTCCTGGACATAACTCAACCCTTGGTCTCTGACTTGGAAGTTGTCACCTTTTCCTAAACTTGCTCTTCCTCCTTATCACCAAAGGCAGGGACCAACCTAGACTCTCTCACTCACCTCCCACCTCCATCCATCACCAAATATATATATTTCTTTCTTTTTTT